TACAAACCAGATAGAAAGTCCAGAAATGTGTTTATTGTACAGACAAATCCTAAGTGACCCAGACTAAGGGCTGGTCTGAGCACCAGTGCAGAAGCTACAATCAGAGCTGGTTAAGGATACACTAAGGGGCTTGGCTCAATTCCAGTGGCCTCATGGCAGACATGTGATGAAAGGCGCATTAGAGTCACCCTGAAGAGGACCTGGGATCCCATTCCTGGGACCTATGTGACGGAGAGTAGAAAATGTTTGTCAGGTCTAAGAAGGCAAAGATTCAACAAAAGCAGGGCTTTGGGAAGATTCAAGAGGCAGTAGGGTGCAGCTGCTTTGGGGAGTGAGGCAGGGTTGCGCTATGAACAGCCTGCTGCTTGGGGCCCTGCCCTGCAGGAAGAAGCCAGATGGAATGGACCCTCTGGCTGTCCTAAAGCACATGAATCCTCACACCTCCCAAGAGCGGCCAAGGCATCCTTACTGTTTCATGATTCTCACTGGGGCTTGGGGTCCTTGGGGTTGGTTGCCTAAGCTGCAGCAGAAATTGTTGGCTGGCAAGGTGAATGATTTGTAACTGGCTCTTATAAATGAGAGCAATACACAAAAGAAAGGGTCCTTCTGAGAGGCATGGTGGAAGCACACAGGAAAGGTTGGGACCAAGCCCAAACTCATGTGTCAGGGCAGTGAATGCTGTATGTATCTAGTGCATGAAAAGGGCTGGGCATTTGTTGGCAGACACTCAAAACTGCTGACTAAGCATGTGTAGATATTCCTCTAAACCAGCGACATCCCTCATCCTCAAAATGCTGTTACATCTTCCTCCAGAATGTGAGAAACTGCTCCCTTCCCCTAGAAAACCAGGTCTGAGAGTCATTTCGTGACAACTGTAATCTCTATGGCTTCTCCTTCTTATGCTAGAGTCAGGCTGACCCCTAAATCACAATGAGTGGGACCCCAGACTCCATGGTGAGCCTCATGTCCAGAAAGACTAAAAGTCTCTGGGAGAGAAGGCTGTGGGCACCTGAGTGTCAACAGCATACCCCGTGTGGTGGCAGTTGTCTGTCACAGCCTGCTAGCACCACCAAAGCAACCCAAGGTCACAGAGAGTAGCAGCTGTACAGAGTTCTTACGGTGGAGGCAGAGTGGGCAGGGCCTCCAGGGAGACAAGCCGGCCACTTCCCCATAGGTCAACCAATGACTGCAGTCTGTCTCTCCAGACAATTCAGTCAGTCTATGGAGAACTTCATTCCTCTGCCTCTCTCTTGAGGAAATTGCAGCTTTCAGAACCTTCCCTGAAGGAGAGAAGGGGCCAGCAGGGACATGAGAATTGACCCTGAGGAGTTGGCAGGAGGGAGTTCTTCCTGTTTACCTGCCCCAGTTCAGCCACTTTTTTGTTACCTTTAGGCTGCAGAGCGAGGTTGGCTGGATTGATGATGAACAGCGCCTTGCTACTCCATGCCATCACCTCTCCACAGGACTCTTCCCTGAATGTGCTAACTTTCCCCTGCTCTCTACTAGAATGCTAGCCTCTTAAGGGCTGGGATTTTTATCTGTTTGGGTCACTACTGAATCCCTAAATCTAGAAGAGTGCTTGGTACATAGTAGAGGTGCAATGAACATTCCTTGAAGAATAATTATTGACATAAAGTAAAATTCCTGAAGTAGATTTCATAGTTGATGGATCTTGGTGGCTGGGCCTGTAATTCCAGCACTTTGGGAGGCTGAGGCAGGCAGATCACTTGAGATCAGGAGTTCGAAACCAGCCTGGCCAACATGGTGAAACTTTGTCTCTACTAAAGATACAAACACTAACCAGGCATGCTGGTGCATGCCTGTAATTCCATCTACATGAGAGGCTGAGGCAGAAGAATCACTTGAGCCCAGGAGGTTGAGGTTTCAGTGAGCCGAGATTGTACCACTGCATTCCAGCCTGGGCAACAGAACAAGACTCCAACTCAGAAAAAAAAAAAAAAATAGTTCACGTATCTTGGGTGAGGTACAGTGACTCATGCCTGTAATCCCAGAACTTTGGAAGGCCAAGGCAAGAGGATTGCTTGAGCCCAGGAGTTCGAGACCAGGCTGGGCAACATGGCGGGACCTCATCTCTACAAAAGTTAAATAAAATTAGCCAGGTGCAGTGGCATGTGCCTGTGGTCCCAGCAACTTGGGAGGCTGAGATGGGAGGATCACCTAACCTGAGAGGTCAGGGCTGCAGTAAGTCACGATCTTGCCACTGCACTCCAGCCTGGTTGACAGAGCAAGACCTAGTCTCAAAAAAAAGTGGGGGTAGCAGGGGAATTAGTTATGAATCTTTAGACATTAAACAAACTAACTGAAATATATATATATAAAGGCTCTTAGAAATAAAAGGAAAATATGACAAAATGATAAACATAGTAAGAGAGTTTTTAAAAATCTTCTCAGAGAAATTGACAGATTGAGTCGACAAAACATAAGTGAGAATGTAAAATGTTTGCATAATGAAAATTATAAGCTTAATCTAATAAACACATCTATGGAATATTTAAGAAGAGAATCTCAGGAAATTCAAAAAAAGTAGGCCACATTATTTAATACTGCCTCCTGATGACACGAAGCTAGGAAAACCCTAAAATGAAGAATAGGAAAACATACAGAGAAAAGAAAATATACATACAAGCATTTTATGTACAGTTGACCCATGAGCAACATAAGTATGAATAGCATGGCCCACTTACGCATGGATTTTTTTCAATAAATATTTTGAAAAATTTTTTGGAGATTTGTTACAATATACAAAAACTTGCAGATGAACCATGTAGCCTATAATTTTTTTTTCTTTTGAGACAGAGTCTCGCTCTGTTGCCCAGGCTGGAGTGTGCAGTGGCATGATCTTGGCCCACTGCGCCCTCTGCCCTTCCAGGTTCAAACAATTCTCGTGCCTTAGCCTCTCAAGTAGCTGGGATTATGGGCATGTGCCACCATCCCTGGCTATTTTTTTTTAATTATTATTTTTAGTAGAGAAGAGGTTTTGCCATATTGGTTAGGATGGTTTCAAACTCCTGACCTCAAGTGATCTGCCTGCCTCAGCCTCCCGAAGTGCTGGGATTACACAAGTGAGCCACCAAGCCTGGCTGCCTAGAAATATTTTTTATTTTACTTTTTATTTTATTTTATTTTTTGAGACAAAATCTCATTCTGTCACCCAGGCTGGAGTGTGGTGGCATGATCTTGGCTCACAGCAACTTCTGCCTCTCAGGTTCAAGCGATTTTCCTGCCTCTGTCTCCCAAGTAGCTAGGACTACAGGCACCTGCCACCAAGCCTGGCTAATTTTTGTATTTTTAGTAGAGATGGGGATTCACTTGTTGGCCCGGCTGGTCTTGAACTCCTGACCTCAGGTTATCTGGGATTACAGGCGGGAACCACCATGCCTAGCAGGAATTTTTTTTTAAAAATAAGAAAAAATTAGGTCTGTCATAAACGCATAAAATATAGGTAGATACTAAATCTATTTCATCATTTACTAACATAAAATATATATAAATCTATTATAAGAAATTAACATTTATCAAAATGTAGGCACACAAACACAGACCATACATGGTGCCATTTGCAGTTAAGAGAAATGACAACAAACTTAAAGATGCAATATTAAATTAAAACTGCATAAAACTAGCTGTGGTACATACTGTAATATTATAATAATTTTGTAGCCATCTCCTGTTGCTACCACAGTGAGCTCAAGTGTTTAAGTATCCACTTAAAACATTATGTGATGCTAATCATCTCCCGTGAGCAATTCCTCACTCCAGTCAATTGTGTATGGCAGTAAAAACTGATTTAGTTCTCATGTATTTTTCATTTTCAGTGCAATATTGTAAACCTTGAATAACATCATGGGATCCATATGAGGTGGCACTAGTAAATCTGGACGTTCTCCCCAAAAGCAGAGAAAAGTCATGACGTTATCAAAAAAGGTTGAATTGCTTGATATGTGCCATTTATAAAGGTCTGCAGCTGTGGTGGTCTGCCATCTCAAGATAAGTGAATCCCTGCAAAGGACCATTGTAAAATAAAGAAAAAGAAATGTGTGAGGCCATCACTGTAGCTACACCAGCAGGCACAAAAACCTTGCACTTTTTGTAAAATACCTTTTTAATCTCTTATTGAAAATGCCGTTTTTATGTGGGTGCAGAATTGCTATAAGAAAGGCATACCTATAGACGAATATAATTTGAGAAAAAGCAAAATCAATTAATGACAACTTAAAGCAAAAGGAAGGTAAAGAATCTAAAGCAGGAGAATTTAATGCCAGCAAAGGATGGTTTGATAGTTTTAGAAAGAGGTATGGCTTTTTAAATGTCCATATGACAAAAGAAGCAGCTTCTGTCAGCCAAGAGGCCTGTCAGTGATACTGTCATGAGGAGAGAAAAATGGGGAGACTGAGAGCACCATGATTTGGGAGCAGAGTACAAAGAGGAGGGAGCTATGCAGAGAAAGAGCTTCAGAAATCTGCAGAGGATTCTGTGTGTGTGCATAGGATGGGCATCCATAAAGCCTGGTAAGGAACTTCTCTAGAAATTCTCATTCTAAGCTGAACTGGAGGAAAGCTGAATCCCTGGAAGGATGAATGGAGGACACAGGAAGAGGCTGAAGCCAGAGACACAGCTCTGAGAATTAATAGTCTGAAGAGGAGATGAGGACAGCCCACGGATTAGAAAGAGAAATAGGTCTTTGGAGTGGCTTAAAGGGCTGAAAAAAATACAGCTCCAGCCCCATCTATACCCAAAGGAAACCCAGGACACAACTAAGATAGCTAGGACTCCTAGGACTTTATACCCCTATGAAATCCCTGTAGTTTGTGTTAAACGTCTGCTGTTTTCAACAAACAGCAAAAAGTTACCAGCTAGAAAGCCCTTAAATAAAAGTGTGCTTGTTTTGAGACAGAAGGAACACTGAGGGAAGAAGAACCAATCCAGGGAGGAGAGAGTGATGTGGCCACCACAGGGACAAGCAATCACAAAACTTTTGTTGATTCAGCGAGTATTTATTGAGGACCTGCTATCTGACAGGGCTGTGCTGGGTGCTGAGGGTCTACAGGGGCATGGCAACCCTCTTCCCTTGAGAAGCCACTGATCTCACTGGGTCACTCGAGGTAAGCATGTTCAAAAGGGCTAAATCAAAGAACAATGCAGAAAGTGCAAAAGACCAATGGAAGGCCCCAGAGAACAGGTAGAGCTCAGAGGTTCCTAAGCCATCAAGGAGGAGGAGGAGGAGGGTCAGTGCTGGCAGGCAGGAGCGGCCCCTCTGCTCTGGCCTGCCCTCAGGCCACTCCCTGGCCCATGGGCTTCTTGCACACCCACTGATAGGGAGTGTCACAGTTCATGTCATTCCATTTCCACTGAATGTGGACACAGTCTTCAGTCTGCCCATCCTTGTGCCGCCAGTTGTCAGGCTGATTCTTTCCCCAAAACCTGGAGACAATAGGACTTTATTCTGTTAGATAAATGAAGCATCCCTTCTCCATGCTGTGGCTTAAGGAGCTGATGTGAGATGGGTCCTTCATCACCTAGTGGCCCTAGGATGAGGACAGGGCTGGGAGAAGGAGTATCCTGAGGGTGTCTGTGCTCAGGTTGCCCTTAGTTACTGAAGATCCAGGGACAGGGAAGGGTGCCTATGAAGCTGCAAGCTCCCACCCCAGAATTCACACTAAGATATCTTCCAAGAGGGCAGGATCCCTTGGAACCAAGCCTGAGTAGGGTAGGGAGAAGAAAACAGAAAGACGCACTCATTGTCTGCATGCCAGCTCAGGACCTGTTCTTCCCTCTGTGAAGGAGTCCAGGTAAGAGCTATGACTACACCTGGGTGTTCAAACACATATATCACACACATACCACATGCACACCTCACACACCACATGTATTACACATGCCACACACATGCCACACACACCACACATACACCACATACACATCACATATGTCACACACATATACACACAACACTATCATTTACTCAGAAGGGACACAGTGTGTAGCTAAGCCCACCAAACACAGTGCCCGGGACAATGCCAGATGGTGGCTAGACTCACTCTCTGTTCTGGGTGGCATTGAATGGTGTCCCATCTGTCCAGCGCCAGAAGCCCTCTGTGCCCCTGTCAGTGAGGCCGATCCAGTGATAGGCGTTACCTGTGAACGCTACCAGAAATGCCTGCAGAGAAAAGTCAGTGTCATTGTTTGCCCCTGTGTATGGGGAGCCAGTTCTCCAGGCCACCTGGAAGAGGAGTCTAGGCGGTCCCTCCCTGGTCCCAGAGGCATGGAGCCCACTTCTCTGCAGGAACTGAGCTCCTCCCTGGACCTTCCATGGTTTGTCTGGGACCTGATACCAGCCAGGTACCCTCAGGGCAAGTCCAGCTTCTCCCGTGGTGATTGTCACTAAATAGTTTCAGCCCTTTGGAGGTTGCAGTGAGCCGAGACCATGCCATTGCACTTCAGCCTGGGTGACAGAGCAAGACTCCGTCTCAATTAAAAAAAAAAAAGTTCCAGCCCTTGATGAAGGCTGTGGATTTCCTAGGACAAAGAACAGGCCTGCCCATAGCTTATTTATTTATTTATTTTTATTTTCTTTTTTTTTTAATTATTATTTATTTACTTTTTTGGAGAGGTTTTTAAATGATCAGTTCCAAATATACGGCACAGGGAAGGTGAAATGAGTAAAAAAAAAAAAAAAAAAAACTTATTTAATTCCCCATGAACACTAAGCCATATTATTCAAAATGTGTTTCAAAATACTTAGCCAGATCACCATATCTCAGTCACTAAATAGTCACTAAGAAACTAGTCAAGCCACCTGGGAGGCGGAGGTTGCAGTGAGCTGAGATTGTGTCATTGCCCTACAACCTGGGGGACAAGAGCGAGACTTCGTCTCAAAAAAAAAAAAATAGCCAAGCCACAGAAATCCATTGTGAAACACCATCTAGAGAGAATGACTACACTGCTATACGTAATTTATTAACTTGTTTAGTCTCTTAATATTTAGCAAGTTTGTTTCAAAATTACCATTCCCATTGGTTTATAGTGAATTTAATGCATAAATTCAAAGTAAACATTCCTTTCACTGTGAAAAGACTTTTTTTTTTTTTGGAAGTGGAGTTTTGCTCTTGTTGCCCAGTGGTGCAATCTCAGCTCCCTGCAACCTCCACCTCCCAGGTTCAAGCGATTCTCCTGCCTCAGCCTCCCAGGTAGCTGGGATTACAGGCATGTGCCACCACACCCAGCTAATTTTGTATTTTTAGTAGAGACAGGGTTTCACCATGTTAGCCAGGCTGCTCTTGAACTCCTGACCTCAGGTGAGCCACCTGCCTCAGACTCCCAAAGTGCTGGGATTACAGGCGTCAGCCACCATGCCTGGCTTTAAGACTTCTTAAAAGATAGTTGTGGGCTGGGGAACAGTAATGACTATCTGGTGGGTACTGTTCAAAGCCAAAAAGACTGGCAGGCTTGGAAAGGCACATACTACATATACACAGACTCTCAGTGTACTACTGTTCCCCACATTTTTGCTGTACATTCCTGTCTTAAAATATGGTATAAATTTTTTCCTTAAATTTGAAAAAAAACAATTAAGATGAATACATTTTCATCTGCCTTTCAAAATAACCCTTTTAAATGAAAAACAAGTTCCTCATGTTTGTTAAATCTGTTCAAATTTGAATTTAAATACTTTCTTCACAACATGTAGTTTTTTTTCACCCTTTCATGCCTTATTACAATCAGCTTGGCAATAAGACCACCAGTGCTTTATCAAAAATGGCATTCAATAGATTATAAGATTGTTAAATCTGCATTTGAATCATTCTTATCACAATGAATTATAACAAAGTCAAAAAAATGTGTGACTATTCATCAACACTCTTGGAGCCTATGAATTATTGCAAATCATCTCACACTGCATATAATTCAAACATAAACTTTGTGGGGAGGGGGTGTAAAATCAGTACTACAGTATTTCTTCAATTCTATTTAATACTGCCTAGCTGGTTAAATGAAAGATTAATATTACTAATAGGAAGAGTCAAACTATTTTAAGGACTGTTTTCTAAGTACAACAATTTTGCAAAACAAACATAAGCAAGAGTCTATGCAAATACATTTTCTTGTAGTGTAATGTAATTGCTAATCTGAAGTATAATCTGTAAGCAATTAACACAAATATAAATAGGTATGAGCCACCACTAGCTCACAGTCTGGTGAAAGCTTCTCAGCTAAAGTAGTTTCAGGTGAAGGTTAAGGGAAATGAGAAGGGGTGGACAGGGCAGGTTTCCAGTGGAACATCATTTATGTGCCTTGTCATTATCATCAACCTGTCTCTCATCAAAAGAAATTGCTAAATACTGAGAGACTATCATCAAATCCTGCGCCTTGGTGCCTGGCCCATTCTGCCTCAGCACTGCTGTCCCCTCGCCATGACCATAGTGCCAGTGTCTCCCATAGCTTATTAAGAAGACGTGTTTTACAAAGTTGCATGTTCTTTCTCAGACCACTAACAGTGGTCTCGGGAGAGCCACAAGGGGTGGGCAGTTCTGCAAGTCAAATTGGACCACAAACATTGTGGTTCTTTGTTAGTAATACTGGCAAGACCCACGACAGATGAGCTATCTGAGACTGTCATGCTTTTGGTGGTCCTCAGACTCATAGCGTGTGTCTGGTCTTCCCAAAAAGCCTGGGTCTCCTGTTCATGGGCCCCCTACAGCAGCTGGATTAACTGACATTAAAATCAAGATGGGCTGGGTGCAGTGGCTCACTCCCAGCACTTTGGGAGGCCAAAGTGGGTGAATCACTTGAGCTCATGAGTTTGAGACCAGCCTGGGCAATGTGGCAAAACACCATTTCTACAAAAAATATTCCCCAAAATTAGCCAGATATGGTGTCATGCACCTATAGTCACAGCTACCTGGGGGGGCTGAGCTACTCAGATGACTGAAGTGGGAGGATCACTTGAGCAGAGGAGGTCAAGGTTGTAGTGAGCCAAGATCAGGCCACTGCACTCCAGCCTGGGTGACCTGGAGAATAAGATACTGTCTCAAAAAAAAAAAAAAAAAATGATTGGAAAGGAAGCCTGAGAGGAAAACGAAGGCATGAGGAGGGAAGTGTGTTCCCAGCACTTAAGAGCATCACCTGGTGCCACCTCCCCTTGGCCTCCCTCCCTGCTGATGTCTCTTGACCTCCAGGTGTCTCCCTCATTCATGGAAGATATGGAGGTTTGTTGTCAGGATTCTACCTCCAGTGCATGTGTGCATCAGAACTCAATAAATATTTGCTCCCTGCCTGGCAGAGAAGACATGGAGGTCTCTGTCACACCCACTGAGGGCAGGAAGGCCAAAACACCAAAGACACTTATTCCACACCAACTCTACCAACACCACCCCATGCTCACAGCTCTGACCTGCTCCTCCTCAGAGGCCACAGATGCCAGGTGGGCTCCCTTGGACACACAGAATTGCTCAGCCTCAGACCAAGACTTCTTGACATAAGAAAAGTAATATAAGCTTCCAGCATTGAACTTCCAGCCTTGCAGAGTCATCTGGAGAAGCTGACCTGGAGCAAAGATTGGAGAGAAAAGAGAACCAGGGAGATACGTTCGTCAGTTTGCTCCTTTCTGCCCGTGGACGCCACCAAAGCAGCATCGTTAAAGTCTCTCTTCTCCCCGCGATCATGTCTAAGTCAGAGTCTCCTAAAGAGCCAGAACAGCTGAGGAAGCTCTTCATTGGCGGGTTGAGCTTTGAAACAACCGACGAGAGCCTGAGGAGCCATTTTGAGCAATGGGGAATGCTCACAGACTGTGTGGTAATGAGAGATCCAAACACCAAGGACTCCAGGGGCTTTGGGTACATCGTATGCAACTGTGGAGGAGGTGGATGCAGCCATGAATGCAAGGCCACACAAAGTGGATGGAAGAGTTGTGGAACCAAAGAGAGCTGTCTCAAGAGAAGATTCTCAAAGACCAGGTGCCCACTTAACTGTGAAAAAAATATTTGTTGGTGGCATTAAAGAAGACACTGAAGAACATCACCTAAGAGATTATTTTAGACAGTATGGGAAAATTGAAGTGATTGAAATCATGACGGACAGAGGCAGTGGCAAGAAGAGGGGCTTTTCCTTTGTAACCTTTGATGACTATGACTCCGTGGATAAGATTGTCATTCAGAAATCCCATACTGTGAAGGGCCACGGCTGTGGAGTTAGGAAAGCCCTGTCAGAGCAAGAGCTGGCCAGTGCTTCATCCAGCCAAAGAGGTCGACATGGTTCTGGAAACTTTGGTGGTAGTCGTGGAGGTGGTTTTGGTGGGAATGACAACTTTGGTTGTGGAGGAAATTTCAGTGGTCGTGGTGGCTTTGGTGGCAGCTGTGGTGGTGGTGGATATGGTGGCAGTGGGGATGGCTATAATGGATTTGGTAATGATGGAGGCAATTTTGGAGGTGGTGGAAGCTACAGTGATTTTGGCAGTTACAACAATCAGTCTTCAAATTTTGGACCCATGAAGGGAGGAAACTTTGGAGGCAGAAGCTCTGGCCCCTATGGTCGTGGCAGCCAATACTTTGCCAAACCATGAAACCAAGGTGGCTATGGTGGTTCCAGTAGCAGCAGTAGCTATGGCAGTGGCAGAAGATTTTAATTAGTAAACAAAGCTTAGCAGGCGAGGAGAGCCAGAGAAGTGACAGGGAAGCTACAGGTTACAACAGATTTGTGAACTCAGCCAAGCACAGTGGTGGCAGGGCCTAGCTGCTACAAAGAAGACATGATTTAGACAAATACTCATGTGTATGGGCAAAAAACTCGAGGACTGTATTTGTGACTAATTGTATAACAGGTTATTTTAGTTTCTGTTCTGTGAAAAGTGTAAAGCATTCCAACAAAGGGTTTTAATGTAGATTTTTTTCTTTTTCTTTTTTTTTTTTTGCACCCATGCTGTTGATTGCTAAATGTAATAGTCTGATTGTGACGCTGAATAAATGTCTCTTTAAAAAAAAAAAAAAAAAGAGAGAGAACCGGGAGCTCCTGGTGGGGGTCCCAGACGGAACTTTTCTGACCTTTCTAGGGCCTGCCCACTGAGATTCACAAACCCATGCAATTCTTGATGACTAGTGTTCCAGGACCAAGGCCTGGGGGGCTGCACTACCACCTCACTACCTAGCACTCCAGGAAGCAGCCCTCAGGACACCTGGCTTGGGCACCCCTGGAAGACTCAGGAAGCTCTCTCTTTCCAGATACCTGCTTCCTGGCTATACTGCCCTCTCTCCCAACTCATTGCTATCACCTGACTGTCATTTCCACTTCAACTTCAGCCATCTTCCCTGGAGATTTTACAGCCATCCCATAGCCTTACTCATTTCCTCGTCTTCATCTCCATCCACTTCTGCTGCCACTCCCATGGCCATCCTGGGACCGACCTTGTCATCACCTGATCTGCCTGACCCTGCCATTCAAACTCTAATAGCTCATCCTGTGAGCAAAAGCCCCAATTCTGTCTGCTCTTTCATCCCTCCCTATCACAACACCCTGCTCTTTGACATCATCTATGCCACAGCTGTTTGAAATGTTGCAATTGGATAAATAAGCTCACTTATCTACCCAATTGTTTTTTGTTCAACATTTATTGTGCAACTTTCCTTAACTTCTTTGAGCTAGCCACTGCCATTGATGTACTAGATCAATCAGATGTGAATTGATGCCCTTACAGAACTTAGAGTCTGGTAAATGAGACAGATGGAAAAAAAGTGTTGAAGATGCAGTGATTAAAATACACAGGGACAGTAGAATAGAGTCAGGGAAGAAGGTATGGTCTATTTCATCTAAGCAGGAGGTTGGACTCAGGAAGGACACCCTGGATGAGGTGTTACTGGAGCTGAGTCTTTTTCTTCTTTTTCTTTCCTTTTTTCTTTCTTTTTTTTTTTTTTTTTTTGAGATGGAGTTTCACTTTGGATGCCCAGGTTGGAGTGCAATAGCACAATCTCGGCTCACTGCAACTTCTGACTCCCGGATTCAAGTGATTCTCTTGCCTCAGCCTCCCAAATAGCTGAGATTACAGGCACCCACCACAATGCCCAGCTATTTTTTGTATTTTTTAGTAGAGATGGAGTATCACCATGTTGGCCAGGCTGCTCTCAAACTCCTGACCTCAGGTCCGCCCACCTTGGCCTCCCAAAGTGCTGGGATTACAGGCATGAGCCATCATGCCTGGCCTGGAGCTGAGTCTTAAAGGACTGAGGAAGAGTTTGCCAGGTGTTCAGTGTTAAGGAGAGCACCCCCGGGCAGGGAAAAAGATCAGCACAAAGGAATAAAGGTCTGGAACAGCCCAGCATAGCCTGATCTATTCAACCTACTTCATATTGTCGGTGCATACAGGATGGGTGGGTGATGAATTTGGACAGGTTCACTTGTACTAAATGGTCCATACCATGTGAAAGAGATTGGATTTTTTTTACCCTATGAGCAATTGGGAGCACCACAAAGTTTTGAGAAGGACAGTAATGTATTCGGATTTGCACTGGGGAAAATGTCAACCTGGTAGAAGCTGAACCAGAAGAAGGCACTCCTAATGAGGCCGGAAACACCAAGGACAACACAATAGTGAAAGCCCCAGTAAGAGATGGTGGGTGTGTAAATCAGGGGTTCGAAAAGTGTGGTCCCAGAACATCAGCATCACCTGGCAATGTGGTAGAAATGCAAATTTTCAGGACCACCATAGCCTTGCTAAACCAAAATCATGTTTTAACGATCTGTTTCAGCAAGGCCTCTTGTAGTTCTGATGCCCAGAACCAGTCATCTAAACCAATGATTGGCAAACTCCCATCTGCCAGCAGTGCCTTTTTATAAAGTTTATTGGGACACAGCCATGCTCATTAGTTGCTGCCTTTGGCTGCTTTATCACTACAAGAGCAGAGTTGAGTAGTTGTAACAGACCATACAGCCCAAAGCCGAAGATATCTACTTCTTGGTCCTTTAAGAAACAAAAATTAAGCTAATAGTTCTCAGCCCAGATGCCATTAGATCTGCCTAGGGAGTTAAAATAAAAAGACTTCTAATCTCAGACACCCTTATAAAAAAAAAAAAAATCAGAGCTCTGGAGGTGGGTCCCCAGGCATCAGTATTTTCAAAGCTCCTTGGGTGATTCCAGTGCATGCCCCCAAAGTGGAAAAACACTGGTCTCACCCACTTCCCCGGATTTGGTCCTCTCTCCAGCCCCCAGGCTCCTCCCTAGGGAGATGCATGTTGTGGTAGATGGGACGGGAGACTCTACCCTCTCAAAGGCCTGTACCCTCCCCAGCAGGACTCCTCCCTCCCACTTACTTTGGGTTCTTTGTAGCTGTTCCTGTGAAGCAACGACCTCACGGAGGGTCTTCAGGCGACTGTGCTCCTGCTGGATTTCCACAGTTAGAGCTTTGGTGTTCTCTAAATCCTCTCTTAATTTCTGGATCTCAACACTGGCCTTCTTCAGATTGCTGTCTAACATCTCAGTCTGGGAAGTTAAGGCCAAAGCATTCTTCATTCCTTGTTTCAGGGTCTGTATCTGTCTGCTGGCATTTTTCATATGACCATTTAAGACCTGAATCTGGGCATTTAAGGTACTGGCATTTTCCATTTCTGCCTTGAATCCCAGAAATTCAGCATCTGTCTGGTCCAGACGGCCATTTGCTCTTTGGATCTCGGTTGTGACTGTTTCCAAACTCCTTTTTAACAAGTGAATTCCATCACCTGCCCTTTCCAAATGATCTCTTAATAATTGGATCTCAGCACTGGTGTTGTCAAAACTGCCTTTCATAAGAGTCTGGGTCTGGGAGTTTAAAGCATTTGTGTTCTGCAGATTTTCCTTTAGTCCCTGGATCTCAGCATTGGCTCCTTCCAAACTACTTCTTAAAACCTGGTTCTGGGTCCTCAAGTCATTGACACTATCTAGATGGCCTCTCAAAACATGGATCTCAGCATTAGCATTCTTTAAACTGCTATTGACTAACTGAGCCTGGGCATTTGCCATTTCCAAACCGGCCTTCAATATCTGAATTTCAGAGTTCGCATTTTCTAAGCCTCTGCTTAACATGTGGAGCTCTGTGCTGGTGTTTTCTAAAGTGCTTTTTAAGAAATTCTGAGTCTGGGTTAAAGCATTTGCCTTTTCCAGGCCTCCCTTGAGCCTCTGGATGTCAGCATTGGTTCCCTCCAGGGAATTCCTCAACGTTTGGGTCTGCAAACTCAATGTAGTGGCATCCTTTAGAACTCCTGTTACCATCTGGATATCAGCACTGGTGTTTCCCAGATGACTACTAAGTACCTGGAGCTGAGAATTGACATTGTCCACTCTGCACTTCAGCATCTGGATCTCTACTACCCAGGCGCTGGAGTTCTCCATGTGGCCTTTAAACATCTGGATAAGCTCTTGCATTTCTGTCTCCCTGCCAAAGTGGTGATGATCTGGAGGGAGGAAGTGAAGAAGGCAGCCAAAGAGATCCATGACATAGCGTAGCATCGTATGGGCCAACCAAAGTGTTCTTAACATTTCCAAGGGAAATGGGGACTGCACAGCCCTCAGGGCTACCCCGAGCACTGTGCTGGTTACACTGCCACCTAGACCCTGGGGATAGGGTCTTTGTTTCTTGGCCCACCTGAGACTGTGGGCCAACAAACAAAGATTGAATTCACTGTTACACTCGAATGAAGGGGTCAGAAGGATTGAAATACTTGCCCACTGTAAGCCAGCTGCCACCAGGAGTCATACTGGTTAAGGCTTGGATTATTTTGTCATTATAATTGCTCAACTTGAAAGTAACTGATTATATCATTTGAGCTGTTGAAGTTTAATTCCACTGAAATTTCACCATAGATGGGTCATTATGAGAAAGAAAATAGGTATGAATAAAGCCTGTGGTTAGTCCCACAGTATATTTGTACACCAAGCATAGAGCTTCTTGATTCACCATTGTTACTTCCTAAAAACCACCACAAATATAAGTTTTATGATGACAAATTCCATGGAGAAGAAAACACAAAGAAACAAAACAGAAATAAAACAAAATAGGTGTGTCAGAGGAAGTACCCTGTTCAATCCACAGCTATGACAGAGGCATACTGTGCCCTCCAAGTAATTAACGCTGGATCTCAGCTGAAATAGCCTTTTAAAGAGCCAGTACTCCAGTGTTACATAGGGCAAGGGTCCCTGCAGAACAGTTTGAGGACGCAGGAAACCTGGGTCCAAGGTCTTGTGTTGGGGACATTGAAAGAGACTCTGCAACGCCTTTAATCTGCGAGGTCTTTCCTAGCAACCTCACCTGCATCTACCTCTGGTCCTGATAGCATCCTTTGTTCACCTCACAAACTAGGACCCAATCTCAGACATCCACTGTCCCCTTCTGATTCCAGTCTCCCGCCAGGAAGAGGGAGAAAAACCCAAGTTGGCAGAGACCCTTTCTGGAGCATCCATTCAGTATTTCTCATGTGCTGCCTGTGTAGATGTGTGAGGCCTCAATCACTGCGCAAAGGTAAGACAGGTGACCTTTCCAAGTACAGGAAGTTCAGTCAAAGATTCTGCTTTATAAAGGTAGGCAAATCAATGTGACAGAATAGAGAATCCAGAGTAGACCCCTACACATATGGACAATTGATTTTCAACAAAGATGCAAAGGCAATTCATGGAGAAAGATAACCCTTTCAACAAATGGTGCTGGGTCAATTGTATATCTATATGCCAAAAATAACTGCATTCCATATTTCACACCACTATATGATAATTAACTCAAATGAGGCAGAGAACTAAATGCAAAACCAAAAACTGTAAAATTTCCAGAAACAAAAAAGAGCATCTTTGGAGCGTTGGAGCAGGCAAATTTCTCACATACAAGACCACGAATAACAGAAATAAAATGATAAATTAGACTTTATCAAAGTTAAAATCTTGTTAAGGGAATGAAAAGACAAGTCACAGACTGAGAGAAAATATTTGCAAATCACATGACAAGAAAAGAAAAAAGAGTACATACTCTATGATCCCTTTTCTATAAAACTCTAGAAAAAGCAAACTAATCTATAGTTACAGCAAGTAGATCTGTGGCTGCCCAGGGATGAAGGGAGGAAGGGAGAGGAAGGAATTACAAAGAGCCACAGGGAAACTTTGGGGTGAGGAGGATGACTATGTGAAGATGATGGTGGTGATGGTTTCACAGGCACATACATATGTGAAAACTTATCAGATTGTGTGCTTTAAATAGTGTACACCATTAGACCTCAATAAAACTGTGTTTTTAAAAAATTATTTCTTTCTATGAGGATGGCAGAACCCATTCAGTGATCTGGGGGTACTGGGGGAGCATCCTAGGGTCTGAGCATCTGAAGGTCCCAGCTCCCTCCTGCACCCCACCCCCACCATAGCTACTCACTGTTGAGTTCAAAAGGTAAATGCTCAGTAATGTTGTCTCCCAGAAGCATGGCTTGCACAGGCTTTGTCACAGGTCTTGTGTGCTGTTGAACTGAGACATCCCATTTTCCCAGGTCAGCAAATCCCCAGCCCTGAGCCTGGGAGGACACAGTCTCCCACACCCAGGAAGGGTTCCAGAACAGAGGAGATAGCAGCAAGGCCCCTCCCAGGGTTTCCCTCATGAACCTCAGTTTTTTTTTTTTCTTTCTTTTACTTGCCACCCAAGTAGCAGAACCTCAGTTCTTAAGAGCCTCCCCTTGAACAGTGGCCTCTATCTAGTCCCAGGAAAGCTGTGGCTTGGGCCTGGAGCTGGAGGTGGAATGATCCTTCTGGGAACAGAGAGGCCCAGAGAGTATGCATCTGGGGCCCTTGAGAGTGTGCATCTGGGGGATTTTATACTGAAAGGAGAACGAGTCAGTGAGATTTGGGTCACCTGGGGGCTTACCCATTAAAAAGAGAGTCACAAGAGAGAAGACCAAGGTCACAGCCATGAACACTGGGGTAGCCCGAACAAGCCTCGACATCTTGGGGGCTGCAGGAGTCATTGCCACAGAATCCACCCCTACAGAGGAGAAGCCAATGTCCAAGGTGAGAGGGCTCTGGGCAGGCTGAGACACAGTCATGCTGATCCTCTCTGATTCAGTTTCCTAGGTTGTATGCTTATCATACAAGTGGTTATGGAGAAGGAAGACGAAGCCCTTTGGGCTGTTCACCAGAGCTAGGTGTGGGTATGGCAGCAACACAGAAGCGAGGAGCTCTGAGACCAAGACCGCAGCTCTCTGAATCTCAAGGCCTTGGTGGTGTGCAGGGCACAGAACCTGGCCCAGAGCACAGGGCAGCAAAAGTTAGTTTGAATGAAAGAAGAAAGGAAGGGAGGGAGGGAGGCCTCACAGGACCAGCTCAGTGTGCAGAGCTGGGATTCCAAGCCAGGATCACCTGAATTCAAAGTCCATTCTCTTTCTCTTGCCAGGTCAGCATCCCCAAGGACAAGGTTCTAGGGAGGTCAATAAGACAGCAATAAGCTGCCTTATGGCAGAGGGCCAAAGGACAGGCAGGCTAATCCCTCAGTGGGCATGAGCTGGGGCTGCAGTTTTCTCACCTTGTGGATGGAGGGAGATACACTGGTTATCTGTGCAGAAGTGGACTGCCTCGCCGTCCATCTCTGCTTCCTTGATCCTCCAGCACTGCTCCCAGCCACTGGCTTCTGGAAGGGCCGTCCTGTGGCCCAATGGCAGTAGAAGAAAAGCTGAGACACCCACACTTATATGCTCCTGACAGAGGTCCTGACCACCCTCTGAGCTCTTCCTCCCTCCCCGACTGACTTTGCAGAAACCCTCCCCAGTGGGCCCCTCCCCTAGAGGCTCCCAAACACTCATCTGCCCTATTTTCTTCCTCTTCCCATTAGCGCCCTCCCCTCAGCTCCCAGTCCTATCATTCCCTTCTCTGGCAAATCCAGCATAACCCCAAACACCTGTCTTTTTCTCTGGAGCTGGGGCTGGGACTGGCCACCTAGGAAGGGGTCTCAACTTTGAGTAGAAAACACCCTTATGACTATGGCTGACCTTCAATTCTAGCTCCAGAACCTCTTAAGTAAAAAGAATCAGGAAAAGGAGGATCCAGGATGGTGCAGCAGGAATTTGCAGGTCAAAGGAAAAGGCAGGATGACCAGCCACTCAAGGCCTCACAACTGAATTACAGTATACAGAAGGATGTGCGGAGATTATATAGAAATACTACACTAGGCCAGGAGCGGTGGCTCATGCCTGCAATCCCAGCACTTTGGTAGGTGAGGCGGGTGGATCACCTGAGGTTAGGAGTTCAAGACCAGCCTGGCCAAGATGGTGAAATCCCATCTCTACTAAAAACACAAAAATTATCCAGGTGTGGTGGTGGGCACCTGTAATCTCAGCTACTCGGGAAGCTGAGGCAGGAGAATTGTTTGAATCCAGGAGGCGGAGGTTGCAGTGAGCCGAGATTTGCCCCAGTGTACTCCAGCCTGGATGACAGAGAGCAAGACCTGGTCGAAAGAAAGAGAAAGAGAGAATGAAAGAAAGAAGAAAGAAAGAGAGAGAAAGCAAAGAAACAAAGAGAGATAAAGAAAGCAGGAAAGAAAGAAAGGAAGGAAGGAAGAAAGAGAAAGAAAGAAAGAAGAAAGAAAAGAAGAAAGAAAGAAAGAAAGAAAGAAAGAAAGAAAGAAAGAAAGAAAGAAAGAAAGAAAGGGAAAGCAAGCAAGCAAGCAAGCGTCTACATAGGGACAGTTTCTTGGCATGATGTGAGCCCCTATATTCAGCAGTACAAAGTGTCCTGATTTTACATCCCACAAAATACAACAACAACAATTCATCACCTCCTAACAACAACCACCTCCTAACTGCCCTCCCTGCCTCTCACCTTACCCTGTCACCATGTTGCAGGCATAATAATCTTTTTTAAAAAAATAGGTGTACACACAAATATTACTTAGCTGGAAGAGGCAATGACATTCTAATAGCAACAACCACATGCAGAACCCAGGTTTTGGTTTCTAACACCATTCTCCAAAAAAAGGAAATCGGGGCTCCTTGGAGAAATGGCTGACTCTAGAACTGGGCCAGGAAATAGACAAGATGAGCCTAGAGCATCTTGTAGTACCAGAAAGTAAGGAGATGTTTTGTTACCAAAAAAAAAAAATGATGGAGGTATGGTTTTGCTCTATCGCCCAAAATGACACAGGGACCTATGAAGGAGCTCCCAATGGCCAAAGCCAGAGTAATTTGAGCAAAACAAACAAATAAAGTAGCATTGGATTATAATCCAAAGTGTAAGAGAAATATCTGTGAATCCGTACTGATATAAATGAATGCCTGAGTAAGTAAACAAATAGATAAATCTCTAGTGCAAAAAATGTCCAAATATTTTCTGTAAATATTCCATTCTGAGGAAGACAGAATGTAACTTCCTACTCTCTGAGTGTGAGCTGCATATAGTGACTTCCTTCCAAAAAGTTCAGTAAGGGAAAAGGGAGAAAAGAGTAACTCAGGAGTCCATGAACTTGGCAAACACTACCCCAGCTTGGAGATCAAGGTCAACACCAACAGTAAAGAATTATATTGATAGTATGTACCCTTGATAGGATGTGATGAGAATGGCCCTTTATCTCCAAGGTCTTCCTCCTGAAATTCAGTACCCCAGTCTAATCATGAGAAATACATCAGGCAAATTCCACTTAAGGGGCAATCTACAAAGTACCTGACAAGTGCTCCTCAAAACTGTCAAGGTCATCAAAAACAAGGAAAGTCTGAGAAAATGTCACAGCCAAGAGGATCCCAAGGAGACATGAAGACCTAATATAATGTGGCATTCTGGATGGGATCCTAGGAGGGAAAAGGATGTTAGGGGAAAACCAAGGAAATCTGAATAAAGTATGGACTTCAGTTAAATATTGGTTCATTAATTGTGACAAATGTACCATACTAACATAAGAAGCTAACAATAGGGAAAATGAGAAAGGGTGGGTATATAGAAACTCTCTGTATTATCATCACAATTTTTCTGTAAAGCTAAAACTATTCTATAGTATAAAGGTTTTTTTTTTAATTATTTTGAGACAAGGTCTCACTCTATCGCCCAGGCTGGAGTACAGAGGCATGATCACAGCTCACTGCAGCCTTGACCTCCCGGATTTAAACAGTTCTCACACCTCAGCTTCTTGAGTTGCTGGGACTACAGGCACACACCACCACACACGGCTAAGTTTTGCTTTTTTTTTTTTTTTTTTTTTTTGTAGAGACAGGGTCTCCCTATGTTGCCCGGGCTGGCCTCAAACTTCTGGGATCAAGTGATTCTCCTGCCTCAGCCTCCCAAAGTGCTGAGACTACAGGCATGAACCACTGAGCCCAGCCTAAAAAGGCATTTTCTAAAAGATATTAGGGATGGCTGGGTACGGCAACTGACACCTGTAATCCCAGCACTTTGGGAAGCTGAGGTAGGAGGATCACCTGAGCTCAGGAGGTCGAGACCAGCCTGGGCAATATAGCAAGACCTCATCTCTACTAAAAATTAAAATTTAAAAAAATAGCTGGCGGTGGTGTCGCGCACCTGAGGTTCCAGGTACTCAGGAGGCTGAGGTGGGAGGATTGCTTGAACCCAGGAGTTCAAGGCTGTAGTGAGCTATGACTGTGCCACTGCACTCCAACCTGGGTGACAGAGGGAGACCTTGTGTCAGAAAAATCAAAAATTTTAAAAGATATAAGGTAACAATTATAGACTCTCAGAAGACAAGACTCAAGCTTTAGAGTCTATGCTGGCAGGAGGAATGCTCCAAGAACACTGATATGCTTCTGGGAATGGCAGCACTAAATCTAGTCGGAGCTCTGAACAACCACCAGGACAAATCAAAGGTCTCACATGGTTGAATCCAACTGGTGGTCCCTGGGTCACATGACTGCACTTTAAAAAACAACAACAGGGTTTTGCTCTATCGCCCAGGCTAGAGTGCAGTGGTGTGATCATGGCTCACTGCAGCCTCAGCCTCTTGAGCCCTAGCAATCCTCCCCCCTCAGCCTCCTGAGTAGCCAGGACTACAAGTCTGCACTACCACACCCAGCTAATTTTCTTGTATTTTTTGTGGAGATGGGGTCCTACTGGGTTGACCAAGCTGGTCTTCCACTCCTGGCCATAAGCGATCCTCCTGCCCTGGCCTCCTGAAGGGCCTCCCAAAGCACCTAGCCTCACACCTGCACTTTTCTGCAAGGAAGGCTACAAATGCCAGTTCTGCTTCTAACTTGAGAAGGTGAATTCAAAATACAGGAAGATACCTAAAACAAGAAGCTGCTCAGTATGAAGGAAGAACCACAAAAGTGTGACAAAAATTTTCCAGTGGCGTCGTTCTGTTGCATGTCTGTAGATCTTGTTATTCCTGGAAGCATTTAAGGTTTCAAATGTAATAAATCATTTGTCATGCTCCTTCAACACTAAGTAAAAAACAGAACAATTGGGATCGTGTCACTCATCTGCCTAAAACACTTCAGTGATTTCTCCTTGTCCTTCAAATAAAATCCAAAACCCCTCCCGTGGCTTTGAGGCCCACCGAGAGTTGCCTGCCCCCTGCTTCACCTCACACCACACTCCAGCTAGACTGGAATTCTCTCAGTATCTCAGGCCTGCCACACTCTTCCTCTGCATTTCCTGCTTCCTCTCTCTTTCCGAATCTGTGCCCCGATCCACTCACCACCTAAATTCTGCTCATCTTTCCAGGCTCAGCTGATGTGCCTCTTCCTCAGGAAACCTTGGGAAATCCTTTTGTTTAGGCTCCCAGAGAACAATAAAAATTTCCTTTTTGAAAACACACTGAGTTTATCATAAATTGGGTAACCTGTATTTTTTCACCCAAAAAACAGAGGTTCATTCTGAGACCAAAAAAAAGGAAGTTGCCTTGGGACAGATAGGAAGGGAGGCTCCTGGAGATCTGGGGTGGGAACAAAGAGATAGAAAGAAAGGAGGGCCTGAAACCTCTGATGGGATCAACGCACTGCCTTGATGGGGACTGTCTGGAGCCCTGGCCAGGTGGGGTTGCCAAGGTAGCCAAGGCAGCCCCCACACCCAGGGCCCAGCCCCAACCAGGGCAACAATGCCAGGAATAATGCCCATAATCCCAAAAGCCAGGGTGCTTTGTAAGAAAAAGGGAAAGTGTGGCAGGCGCGGTGGCTCACACCTGTCATCCCAGCACTTTGGGAGGCTGAGGCAGGTGGATCACCTGAGGTCGGGAGTTTGAGACCAGCTTGACCAACATGGAGAAACGCTGTCTCTATTAAAAATAGAAAATTAGTCAAGCTTGATGGTGCGTGCCTGTAATCCCAGCTACTATGGAGGCTGAGGCAGGAGAATCACTTGAACCCGGGAGGCAAAGGTTTCAGTGAGCCAAGATCGCGCCACTGCACTCCAGCCTATGCAACAAAAGTGAAACTCCATCCTCTCCCCCAAAAAAGAAAAGGGAAAGTGCTGGACAACTAGACAACTACACACACATACAAGCCCCACCCAAATAATGGTTTATCTTCCAAAGCACTGGGAAAATTAAAACAAAGAAAGCACAACTCATAGAATATGAGAAAAAGAGAAGAGAAAGAAAGAGAAAGTGAGAAAGAAGGACAAAGAAAGAGAGAATGAAGTGATAGATAGATCAATAAATATTGTAGTACATGTTCACAAGCATTACGACTAGTTGGTCATTAGGGGTGAGTCAAGTATTCTTTTTCTTCTTTTATATTCAAACACAAAAGAATAAATTTTTCAAGAGTATTTTATTGCAACATAGAAAGAGG